TACTTAATAAGATAGATTGATTTTTTTAGTAAAATTTTGATTTTACTATAAAGTAACTACTGATAATTATATAAATAGCTTATTTTTAAATCAAAGAAATTTTTATATTTTTCTTTTAAAAAAAAAAATAGCTTATTATTGGAAGTGAATTATTTTTGACAATATATAGTATAATATAAACATATATTGTATATATATAATTCATTGAACTTAAACATATTCATGAACTTTTGAACTAAACCTGAACTGAATCTGAATTTGACTTAAAAGTTCAATATTAAATCTGAACTGAACTTTTTTTAAAAAAAGTTTAAGTTCAAATTTAATTCAATTTTGAATTGAACTTGAATTTGGCCAAAAGTTTAGTTTAGTTCAGTTTATAGGAATACTAGTAATTATATATATATAATTACTGTACTATTAAATTTAATAGTTACTATATAGTTACTATATAGTAACTATATATTAAAGTTTTCAAGTTTCTGTAAAGTATCTAAAGACTTTTTTGATACTATTTAATATCTAAGTGTCCAAGTATCTAGAGCATATTCATGTTTAATAATTAATAAATTTGTTTAAAAAATATATAATTATATATTTTTTTAGATATTAAATATATTTTATTTAAAAATTAATATAAATTATTTTAATAAAATTTTAAATAATTTTAATTTATTTAATTGTCTAAAATTGTTCAAAATGTTTAAATTTATTGTCTATAACTGTTCTATAACAATACTACCAAAGGCTATATTTATATAATTAATATTAAGAATAATACTAAAACAAGATAATATTAAAATATAAAAGTCTTAATTTAGAAATATAAATTTTACTAAAATTTTTATCTATACTTTTTTATTATAAACACTAGCCCTAAACTCTAATTTAACTACAAAAAAAAAGCTAAAAAAATACTTCTCCAAAAATTTAAAATTTTATATTAAAATAAGTTAATGTTTTAATATTATCTTGTTTTAGCATCATTTTTAACAATTAATTTTATATTAAAATAAGTTAATATTTTAATATTATCTTGTTTCAGCATCATTTCTAACAATTAATAAAAGTTTTTTAAAAATTTAATTTAAATAATTATTAAAAAAGTTAAAAATTTTAATTTATTTTAATATTAATTATTATTATTTTACATTAAAATTGTTTTTTAAAACTTGAAATTTTATTAGATTTTTAAATTGCCAATAGCTTATAGTTAGTTAATTAAATTATAATAAATAAATTGTTTATAACAGTTATAAACATATATTTTTAATAATTTATACTAAAAGTTATTATTTTTTTTTTTTTTTTGGTATTAAGGTAACCTCTTGGTCAAGTATGCTTTATTGATTTCGAATATGTTATACATATTTGGAGGGTACATCTGGTCATATTTGCGCCTTTTGGATACCTATTTAAGTAGTCTGCCTATTACTAGATTCTACACTAGTTGCCATACCTGCAATCCAACTAGAGGTTATCTATATAAACTCTCTGCGTCTATGTACTCTGACACCTATATCAATCAGCAACCATTTCTCCAGTTCTATAAACTGGTCTCCCTGGCGTATGTTCACATGATGACTTAGGACTACTTTATCCTTAAGGTAAACTTAGCAAAGCCTACAGTATTCCTACTTTATATTGCACCTAGCCTGTGCTTCAGTCTGGTACGCACAGGCCATGGTCTGCTACTTGCAGCTTAGTTTGCCCATTCTGGGAGTGTATGTAGTATCGGGTCAAGGTCCTTGTCTACGGTTTTTCCCCAGCTTAAACTTTCTCCTGCTTCCTTTCTATGATTTAACCCCAGTTTGGCTGAACTCCGCTATTCAGATTTACTTCTGTCCTTGTAGAGTTCACTCAAACCCCAAAACTTACTTCACAGTATATCTCTAGTACTTTAGTAATCTAGCTTTCTTTATCCAGACTTCCAATCCAGATAGCCTGGTATGTAATCACTTATTTTCTTCCGATTTGACAGTAGTCTAGTTGATGTTAGCGATTTCACCTATTTGTCAATAGCAGGGGCCCCAACCCTAGTTCTTGACTTCCAAGCTAGATGGCCCAGTAACCATATACTTTTCCTCTGCGTCTAGGCAGATACTCCTCGAAGGGTGGCTAGTAAATCTCCCACCATCGCTACGACTTGCCTGCAATTGCAGAGGCTTCCTAGCTAGATTCTCGGTCCTCTTTTCTATTTGCAGTGGCCTGGTTGGTGTGAACGCTTCTCAAACACCCCGTATTTTATCCAGTTCAGTTTACATAGGTTCCATTTTCTGGGTCTAACCTTTACAGTAGCTCCATCAAAGATCTGTGCTACCTCTTTACTCAGGACTTGCCAAGTGGGCTTCCGTATTTGCAGTTCTCTAGATTTACATAGCCCGGAGGCTTATCTTGTATTTGCACCACCCTATTATCAGTTTGCATTCTTTCATGTAACCTTATATCATATGAATGCCCCAGACCTCCCAGTCTTGCTGGTGCGATCGTAGTTACAGGTATCCTATCCCAACTGATCGTTGAATACAGTTAACCATAATACAAGCAAAATTTTCAAATTTTTGTCACTGGTGAGATTCGAACTCTTGACCTGCCACTTGGAGGTAACAACTTGACTACTTCACTATATCACCACATCCCACTAAAAATTATTAATATTTGGAATACTATACAGTATTTTAATAAATTAACTAAAAACAAAAATTAGGTTTGTACTATATAAGCAAATTTGCTATTAATGAAATTTATATATATGAAATATTGAAAAGCAGATGTATAACAAAAGGTGGATCTATTACTTGAATCAAACTTCTTCTTTATAAACTATTATTGATGAAGTTCTTAAATATAATATATTGAAACATAAGTATTAGAATAATTTGTATAAAGATCAAGCTCTTTTCTGTTATTAGATAAATTCTCCTATATATTCGGTATCCAAACTAGAAAAATCTTTAATAATAGCAAAAGAAAAGAAGTGAACTCTCCTATATTTTCAACATCCAAACCAAAAAAATATTTTAAGAGCAATATTACTGTAGATCTTTGAACAAGAATATTTAGTAAAAACTGAAAAACTAGACTATTTAACTGTAAAATTTACAAGAAGAACCTTACATACTCTTGTTGGTCTCTACTTTTTTTTGAAGAAATTTTTGTAAAAAATAAATGTTTCAGTTTATTCTCTTCAAAAGATCAATATCATGTATACCAAAATAATTAATACTATTTACTTTCTAAATCAGTATAATAGGACAACAAACTCATCAAGACACATGCCTTGAATACAACAATTGATTAAATAATACTTCAAGGCTAGGATTGAGTACTAACCTCTTTATACTTCTCCAGTTAATGAAAATTTTTCAACTTTTATATACTAATTAGATAAATTTAGAGTAGAAACTAGTTTGTTTAGTAGTATATAATTTTTTAAGCTTTTTATAGGCTCAAAATATGATGTTAAAATAGACAAATTTGCTTTTTTCTTTTTGTTCTCAACACCCTTTATCCTCTTATTTTCTTGATTGTATATTTTAACATCTTTCTTTATATCTCTGTGTTTCTTTTTTTCTTATTTGTGCTTTCTTTGATTTGGCTTCTTGACGAAGCATGCAACTGCTCCAACTAATAATCAGAAGGCTTAAATCCTCAGAAAGTTGAGAAACTAATGTGAAGCAAATTGCTGCTAGGTAAGGTCACACCTGGGTTATAAGGTCGAGTGAATCTTTATCTGTATAGGAATATAGTATAGAAAGTTATTGTATGCCTGTTAGCAATAATTTACTGGTACTTCCAATAAAATAATAAAGGCACCGCCAAATATAAAAAAAAAATTAAACTATTATATCTAATCTTTATTTAAGTTTAAACTGCATTCTAACTTTAGATTTTATATAATAAAAAACTAAAAATTCTTATAAAATAGAGAAAGGTTATCAATAACTCGATATAAAAAGCATTTTTCTATTTATTAAAATTATATTATAAAATTTTTCAAAATAAAAATTTTTATTATAATTAATTACAAAAAGAGAAACAACTTTTGACAAATACTGTAAACATATAAAAATTGATTTTATTTAATTAAATTATACTATACAATTTTATTTACATTATAAAAAAGTTTAGCAATATATACGTAAATGATTTTGTTAAAAAATTAACATATATCAATATTTTTATAAAAATGGTTTATAAGCAATATCAATCTAATTACTAGATATATAAATAATAATAATTGTAGCTAACTAAATTGAAAGTATAAACACAAAAGATAGACTAAATACAGTACTGGTAAGCAAACAGCACAAAGATTAAATAATATGTAAGGTGGATACAAACTGCTCTAGTAGATTTTCCTCCAGGAATAGTTAAACATTCTAAACCTATTGAGTATAAACAGGGTTTAAAAACCTAATTGTAACCCTGTTTGTTAGAACCATTCTGTCTGCTAGCAGTAAATGTATATCGATATATATTACAGTGACGGCCAAAAAGACCACCTTAATACAAGAAAAAAATAAATAAATAAATAAAACACAACATAAAAATGCTTTAAAATAATTACTATTCACATAAATTAATAGAATATGTATATGTTGTGCCTGAAGTTGCTACTTAACTGAAGTCGCACCTGAAGTCATACCTGTCAAAATTTAGTGATAATCTCTGAAATTAGGTCTTGCGTATTAAGTAGTAATTCCGGTCAAGTGCAGCTTTAGGTGCCTAAAGTAGCAATTTCAGGCAAGTTGCAGCAGCACCAGGCACACCATATGTTTTTTAATATAAATACATTTTAATATGTTTTTTAAACAAAGCTAATATTAAAAATACAGTTGTAATAAAATACAAATTTTATGCCTAAATTTAAATATATAAAAGAATATTTGTAGATAAATCAATGATATAAATTCGTAAACTTAACGCGCTTCAAGAGTAAATACAAAAAATCCTTAATGGGAATAACTTTGAGGCAGTAAATAATCCTCTTTGTAATCTTAAATATCCTCGCTCTGAATCAGTGGACCTTCATTGAAATCAAAAAAAATTAGTCATTAATATTATGTGACAGAAATATTTAAAGTTTTAAACATCTACCTGTTGAATCATGCTTAGAATTTTCGCAAAAACTATTAGACTCAAACGATTCATCATATGGTAATGTAATGTGTCTAGTGAATTGCCTAAGAGGACGACTAGTGTAAATCGCCTGAGGATGTATTGAAATTATCGGACTTTTTATGTGACTATTTTCATCAGCTTCTTTGAATTGTTGATAAAAATCACCAGTTTTTGTATTATAAAGTTCTTTTGTCCATGAAAATAAAATATGGGCCACCATTTGAACGGTGGGTCGTTCGAATTCATTCATTTTCCAACAGCTTTCCATCAACTCAACATAACATTTTGGTGTTCCCGGAATAATTTCTGGACGAACGCCGTTATAAATATCAAGGACAAGATCATGATCATGTGCACGATCATAGAATGGTGGTTTCCCTGAAGACAATTCCCACATAATCATTGCCAGACTAAATATGTCGGCAGCGTTGGTAAATGGATGACCCTGTAATACTTCAGGAGCAATGTATGGCATAACACCGTATAATTCGGATACAACTGAGCTTGAATCGACTGGTACAATTGCAGGTTTCGTTAAACCAAAATCACTGACAGATGTAACGATGATTGGTTCGTCGTCAGGAAAGCCGAGGTTAGAAAGAAGGAT